GCATGACATAGACTTGGCCAATGCACACTACAAAATGTGCACATTTATTGGCCAATGCACACTACAAAATTTACACATTTGTTGACCAATGCACACTACAGTACACATTTGTTTGAGTTTCTCATCAGAATCTTCACTATATAATGCCATTGTGCAACTATTTGTTTTTTAATCAGAATATTTTTTGTAGGTTTCCCTAATCAAATCAAGGATTCATCTTTACTTTTATGTTTGGATTTGGGAGGGGGGAATCATTTTGTGAGTTTTGCTTGTAGTACTTTTCTCACATTTTTATTGATTTTTGTCGAGCCTTCGACTTTTGTCGAAAAAGCGAGACATAGCGATCCTACATTCCATCGGCGGCGTCGTCGGCGGCGTCCACAAATATTCACTCTGTGGTTAAAGTTTTTGAAATTTTAATAACTTTCTTAAACTATTCTGGATTTCTACCAAACTTGGACAGAAGCTTGTTTATGATCATAAGATAATATCCAAAAGTAAATTTTGTAAAAAAATAAATCCATTTTTTCCGTATTTTACTTAAAAATGGACTTAGTTTTTCTGCCTGGAAACATTGCATTCACTCTGTGGTTAAAGTTTTTGAAATTTTAATAACTTTCTTAAACTATCCTGGATTTCTACCAAACTTGGAAAGAAGCTTGTTTATGATCATAAGATAGTATCCAGAAGTAAACTTTGTAAAAAAAAATAATCATTTTTTCAGTATTTTACTTATAAATGGACTTAGTTTTTCTGCCAGTTAACATTACATTCACTCTGTGGAAAAAGTTTTTAAAATTTTAAAAACTTTCTTAAACTATCTTGGATTTGTACCAAACTTGGACAGAAGCTTGTTTATGATTAAAAGCTAGTATCTAGAAGGAAATTTTGTTAAAATTTTGTTTCATTTTTTCCGTATTTTACTTATAAATGGACTTAGTTTTTCTTCCAGTTAACATTACATACAGTCTGCAGTTTTTTAAACATTTATTAGATTCATAATCTATCCTGGATTTTTACCAAACTTGGACAGAAGCTACTTACAATCAAAAGATAGTATAGAGAGGAATATTTTTATTAATTTTTTTCCTCATTTTTGTTGAGCCTGCGATTAACAGCAAATGTAGGCGAGACACTGGGTTCCGCGGAACCCTTACGAATTTTTATTATATCTTTGATGTAGGTATTTTTCTGTTTGTGCACTTTCAATATGGGTGCATCACTTTGGTGTATATAATGTGTTACAGACTTTAAAGGTCAGTGGACTTGTGTTACAGCAGTGTTGTCTATTGACAATAGTTCTATATATTGCATAAATAGTGAATAAATAGTACCCTGTATACTTATGATCCACATGGTGACGTTGATATCTAGGTACTTTTCTAATGAAATCTATTTTTATTGAGTAATGAATTGATTAATTGATTGATTGTTGGTGTTTAAGGCCACTTTCAGCTCTATTGGTTATATCCCTGTGGTTATGTTTTTTTTTGGTGGAGGAAGCCAGAGTGCCCCATGAGGACCACCGACCTTCTACAGGAAAACTGGCAATTCTTGTCAATTAAGATTGTAGTCAATTGTACCTGTCACATGCGGGGTACGAAAGTCACAACCTCAGTGTTGACAGGCTAATGATACAGTTGTTGAACTACTTAGACCAATCAGCCACCAAGGCCCCAGTTATGATTTGAATGCTTTAAAAACAAGTTAAATATATCATGCTGAAGGCCATAATTATTTCATATTGGGATTTTGTGTTTTTCAGTATCAAGTATGATTGATAAAAGAAGAGATCTTAATTTTAGATTAAAGAATGACTTAAATTCTTATAAAACATGTACATGTACACCGGTACTTTAAGTCTTATTTGTAATGGTACTAGTTTCTGCTTATTATGGTTCACAAGAATTACGGAAAAGGCAAAGAACAAAAACAGAAATGTGATGGACAAAAGTTTTATTTCATGTGTTTGTGTCATATCTGTAAAACAGTTTTAACATATATATCTGTAATTTGAACAAGTTTATTTCAAATAATTATTTTACTCCTACAAAATGGATCAAGTCTAAATATAAATATATAAATTTAGAAACATATAATGAATAAAATGCTTCGCTGGGCGCAGCTTGATACGACCGCAGAGGTCGAACCCTGAACAGTTGGGGCAAGTATGGACACAACATTCAAGCTTGATACAGCTCTGAATTTGGATTGTGATTAAATATTTGACACAGCATAGGTTTCTGACACAGAAAGAATGTGGTCTAAGAACTTCAATTTTTTTAATTTACCTATTATGGTCCAATGTCCAAAATCAAAATACATGGTTAGATTCAGCATATCAAAGAACCCCATATATTCAATTTTTGTTGAAATCAAACAAAGTTTAATTTTGGACCCCAACTTGGACAAACTTGAAAACTGGTCCCATAATCAAAAATCTAAACACATGTTTAGATTCAGCATATCAAAGTACCCCAAGAATTCAATTTTTGTTAAAATCAAACTAAGTTTAATTTTGGACCCTTTGGACCTTAATGTAGACCAATTTAAAAAACGGGACCCAAAATTAAAAATCTAAAAACACGTTTAGATTTGGCATATCAAAGAACCCCAATAATTCAATTTTTGATGAAATCAAACAAAGTTTAATTTTGGACCCTTTTGACCACAATATGAACCAATTTGATAGCGGGCCTACAAAACAAAAAATCTAAATACATGGTAAGATTCAGCATATCAAAGAACCCCATATATTCAATTTTTGTTGAAATCAAACAAAGTTTAATTTTGGACCCCAATTTGGACCAACTTGAAAACTGGGCCAAAAATCAAAAATCTAAATACATGTTTAGATTCAGCATATCAAAGAACCCCATATATTCAATTTTTGTTGAAATCAAACAAAGTTTAATTTTGGACCCCAACTTGGACCAACTTGAAAACTGGGCCCATAATCAAAATTCTAAACACATGTTTAGATTCAGCATATCAAAGAACCCCAAGAATTCAATTTTTTTTAAAATCAAACTTAGTTTAATTTTGGACCCTTTGGACCTTAATGTAGACCAATTTAAAAACGGGACCCAAAATTAAAAATCTAAATACACGGTTAGATTTGGCATATCAAAGAACCCCAATAATTCAATTTTTGATGAAATCAAACAATGTTTAATTTTGGACCCTTTTGACCTCAATATGAACCAATTTGATAGCGGGTCCATAAATAAAAAATCTAAATACATGGTTAGATTCAGCATATCAAAGAACCCCAAGAATTCAATTTTTGATGAAATCAAACAAAGTTTAATTTTGGACCCCGATTTGGACCAACTTGAAAACTGGGCCCATAATCAAGAATCTAAATACACGGTTAGATTCGGCATATCAAAGAACCCCAATAATTCAATTTTTGTTAAAATCAAACTAAGTTTAATTTTGGACCCTTTTGACCTTAATGTAGACCAATTTAAAAACGGGGCCCAAAATCCAAAAACTTAATACACGGTTAGATTCAGCATATTAAAGAACCCCAAGAATTCAAGAATAAAACCCCATTGAAATTGATCAAGAAATAAGCAATTTATACGAAGTATCTTCTTTTGCACAATACTGTGCAATTGAATATTTCTTGCTATTGTGCAATACTGTACAATTGACAATTTCTTGCTATTGCGCAATATTGTGCTATTGGATATTTCTTGCTATTGCGCAATACTGTGCAATTGAAGATTTCTTGCTATTGCGCAATACTGTGCAATTGAAGATTTCTTGCAATTGTGCAATACTGTGCAATTGAAAATTTCTTGCTATTGCACAATACTTATTATATAATAATTTACACATCCTGTTTGGTGTGTAACTCCTACCATATCATTATTATTTGCTTTTAAATATTAATCAGAAATAACCAACTTAAAATGGAAAATTTTAAAAGAAAAAAAAAAGGAAAAAAAGAAAAAAAACAAAGAAAAAAAAAATCCCCCCCCAAATTTTTTGAACCCCCTTATGATTCATCACCCCCAAACTCAATCTCAGCCTTCCCTTTGTGGTATGGTACCTTGCAGTACAATTTCAGAGAGATCCATACACTTGAACACAAGTTATTGTCTGGAAACTAGAAAAATGCTTATTTTTGGCCCCTTTTTGGCCCCCAATTCCTAAATGTTTCAGGCAATTACCCCCAAACTCAATTCCAGCTTTCCCTTTGTGATATGGAACCCTGTAGTACAATTTCAGAAATATCCAAACACTTACACACAAGTTATTGTCATGAAACTAGAAAAATGCTTGTTTTTTGCCCCTTTTTTGGCCCCTAATTCCTAAAATTTTGAGGCAATTACCCCCAAAATCAATTACAGCCTTCCCTTTGTGATATGGAACCTTGTGGTACAATGTCAGAGAGATCCATACACTTACACACAAGTTATTGTCTGGAATTACAAAAATGCTTATTTTTGGCCCCTTTTTGGCCCCTAATTCCTTAACTGTTGGTACCATAACCCCCAAAATCAATCCCAACCTTCCTTTCGTGGTATTGAACCTTATGGTAAAATTTCATGGAGATCCATTCACTTAAACTAAAGTTAGAGTGCGAAAACCAATGTGTCTTCGGACGACGCCAGACGAAGACGTCGTCGTCGACGACGACGACGACGACGACGACGCCAACGTCATACCAATATACGACCAAAAAATTTTCAATTTTTGCGGTCGTATAAAAAGTGAAAATCAATAATAGTCAAAATTCTAACAAACTTTAAAAAAAAATGCCAAAAAAGACCTAAAATGAAAGATATAAGAATCCCTCATGTTTTATAAATATATAAAATTAACATTCCAGATGTTGAAAAACTGTACATGATGAAATATTCTTTTTTTTGCAGATCATCTACATATCATGTATTACTTTTTTTCTTTTGTGGAATTCCATTCCAAGCTAATTGTTTGATTATATATATATATCAGAATCTCATACCTTTCAATTTATTTGAAGGTACTTTCTTCAACTACATGAGAGGATTGTAGACCTTTCCATTTTCATTTTGCAAAAGTTGAATTTTCTTTAGAACTGTGAAGATTCTTTTCTACAGTAAAGTTATTTAAAAATAGCAATATATCAAAAGTGTGCCAAATAATGATAAAAAAGAAAAAAAACAAGTAGAAATGGTCTTTGGTTTATAAAGTTTTGGGAAAAACGTTCCATAAGTTTCCATCTCTTAACATTTAAAGCTCTAATAAATATTTAATACAAATGAAACAAAACTCTTGTGTAACATGCAGATCTAAACAACAGTTAAAACATTACAACAAGGAGAAATATTCTATCTGTAGAGATTTTTAACTTTATAACAATGTGTTGATACAGATAATTTCTCCTTGTTGTTACGTATATAGGTAACATGGGTATGAAATTTTATCATGAGATCTCCCCTATACTCATTATATATCATGACATTTCCCCTTTACTATGCAACCATTCATCTCTGAGAATTTGCAAGTGAAGCAAGGTAAAAATAGAAGATATAATGACTATTGAGCTATATACATATTCATTTTGTAATTCTTTACCAACTTATAATCATAATAGTTATTCACAGATTTTTAATTCTTTATTAACTTTAAAACAATATTTATACACAAATTTGTAATTTGCCTGAAAAAAAAATCAAAATTTTGTGAGTTACTTCATAAAACTGGAAAGTATAGTACAATATACCTAACAGATGATAGCCCTTATAATACACAACCTTAAAAAGTCACTCAAAAATTTGCATAGGTTGGAATACTGACCAGTCAAAATCCTAAATATGTATATAATTCTGATGAAAAGGAAAGTAAAAATATAGCTGCTCAAAGATATCACAACAAATTCCCAGAGATGAAAATAAATATGACAGCTGATAAAAGGCATAAAAACTTAACAACTGCAATTTATTGCACTAAATGAACACTGTACTACTGTAACAATGGAATGATCTTTTGGTTCAACCTATTCAGAAGCATGAGGTCAAGGTCACATACCTTGCATATGTTACGATGGAAGCATAATATATTACCAAATTGACATATTCCTGAAGATACAATCAAATTTTGGCAACTGCTAACTAAAGGAGAAGTTTTGTCAACTTTCATGAACATTCTTAACTTCAGTTTCCATGGTAACCCTTTGACCTCATGACACCATGAACTTTAACATTACAACCTATCTCCCACAACCTTTAATTACATGTATATGTTACTAATATTTCCTGTGTCAACAATGACAACAGTTTACAATATAATTAATAGCTGTTAACTTGTATAATACCATAATGCATGTGTCCATTTCTTCTTTGCTGACATATAAATAAAAAAATTAACCAAAAAAATCCAGAAATTAGTGTATAGCCTAATAAAACAAACTGTATTCTACAAAAGCATACATTTTTATTTTTTTTTTTTCCCTTGAGAAAAAATGAAACTCCGGATTTTTTCAGATTTATGAAAAATTCTCAATTCTCTTGGCAGTTATAGTCACTACATTTACAAAACTAAAAAATACAGTAAATTTTGTTTTAAAGAAATTTCTTTTTAATTAGTAAATTGATTGAAAAAAAAACTCCACACTTCTTAAGATTAATGATCTTTAGTAATATTGCACATGCCAATATCTGAATACCCCATCTCATTAATTTACAAGAAAATGAATACTTTTACAACTAATCAAAATGTACATAAAACTAATAATTTTGTCACCAAATGGTGAATAATGACCAATCAAATTGTAACATGATCTTAAGATATAATAAGATTTATACATTTTTTTCATTACAGTCAAGATTCTTACAGCTTAGATATTTCAGAGAATCATTATAATTTGGCTATAAATATGACATAATTAAAAAATGGACATAAAAACAAATGTAGAAAATTTAAAATTTGAGATTAAAAACTCCCCTGAATAACAGTGCTCATTCAACCAGAGCAGTAATAATTTTTACTATTGTGAATTATACTTGACAAATAAATGATATTAATGAATACATGTAATTTTGGATTCATCGAAAAAATAAGTTTTCGAACAGATTTTTTTTCAACAGATTTCTTTATTTACTAACATAATCCATATTGATAAACATATCAAATATTCACGATGTAAATAATGAAAAAAAGCATCCTGTCAGATTTGTGATAAATAAAAAAAAATGAAATTGCGTAAAATAATAAAATAATACCTAGCTAATATGAACTGACAAATAAATAGTTATAGATTGTTCAGGATTTCTGATTTAAAATTTGAGATCATAAAGTATGGATTTCTTTTCTATTCTTTTTTATCAATCAATGTATACAATTTTGAAAACTTATCAATTTTTCACTTAGCAGTGTAGAAATATATTCAGAACAGCTGATTCAGAAATCACCAGAAATTGATATATTGGATAACTGTTTCTATATTATTAACCACAATAAATAATGTTATTATGATCACAGGAATGTTGTTGATAGTAAAATAAATACTAAGGAATGCATCGAAATTCTTCTACAAAAGGTTTTTTTATCAATAAAGGAAGACCAGCTCCCGGTCTGTAAACTATCTCACAACCTGGGTTGTTTTTTATTTTACAATTAGAAATTTGTGACATGATGCTAGAAAAATTGTCATAAATTTAAATTTCCTATTACTTGTTTAAGTAACAAATTGCATCTTGCAAATACACAACTCCAAAATCATTTATCTCTATAAAAAAACAAAACAATAAATAGATAGATATGATCACAGAGCACTTTAAATGTCAACAGAAACAACATATATACTAAAAACAGAACTCTTCAGGGAAGAAGATAAATAAACAATATTTCTGAAAAGCTTCTAAATATAGCAGCTTTCATTCCAACACCAAATTACTGTGTGTCTTTTTGGTCTTCTGTAGGACCTTTAGAAACTGGAGTTTCTTCATTAAACAGAGGATTTCGAACCTCCATTTCTCCAGTCTGAAAAATAAAAAGTAAAGTTATCTCCCTTGGCATGTAAATTTAAATATTTTAAATCTGCTCAAGTCAGTTTTATTACCAGACATTTAGCTGTATTTGAATGGAAACTTGCTTATTGTATCAGTATTGACATGCCAGTGACTAAATAACAAAGGACCAATCTTCATTGCTTTGAATGTCCAAATTCAAAATATTTTTGTCAGTAATTTTCGTCATGACTGGCATAATGAGAGTTTGCAGACTCTTGTTGACCAAATGCTACCCTATTTTCAGTTTAAATTATCATTTCAAATAATGACAGCCATTCTTCTCTTATCAACTTTAATATAACATTTAATTATGGGTTAACTTTTACTCTTTCAAGTTTTGATGTGGTAGTTCTAACCCTTGGAAAACAAATCACCATTAAATGTATCAAAATTTGAAATTAGATATCTCTCGACCATAAAATCTCCATAAATGTTCCTAATATTTGAAAGATATTTCAGTTTACACTGAAAAATAAATTTTGCACATATTTATTAATTAGTAATTAACTCTATGCTAAAATCACCTGATTGTGTAATACTTCATTTTTTAAGGCCCACACAAAACAATGACGATACATGTGATCAGATGTCACTAAGATACCATACCTATCACATGACAATACATGTGAGCAGATGTCAGGATGATACCTATCACATGATGATACATGTGATCAGATGTCAGGAAGATACCTATCACATGACGATACATGTGATCAGATGTCAGGATGATACCTATCACATGACGATACATGTGATCAGATGTCAGGGTGATACCTTTCCTTTTTGTGTTGTTCTGTGTACAATTTATTACTATTCAAATGACTTTGTCTGTAATTCCATTCTATTGAACATGTTCATGTAAATACTCTTTATCCATTTGTAATAATGAAAATGTGGGTTTATATCAAGTTTCACTATGATATCTTAAACCTACTAATTTTTCTGTAAATACATGTAGATCAGGTTTCAAAAACAGAAATATTTATTTATTTGTAATTTCATATCTAGAACATCACTGCTGTAATTTTGTATCCAATTAAGAAAAAAATTGAGGTTTAAAATGCAAATGTTTTTGGCTAGAATAATGTATAGGCGAATTGAAGTCAAACATCAATCTATCCCTTTGGAATTTTTTCTCATGTATATGCAGTTTGTACCTTAATAATGTTAGCAAAATATGATTCAGTTTATCAAAAAAATGTAAAAAATTTATCTACATTTAAGCTTACTAGCAAAAAATTGACAGAACCACATTGTTTTCATACACACAAATGATGTCCAGTCACATTAATGAAACTAAATGATGAATGAGAAAGTTTTCAAAAGAAGTATTATGGTATAGGGGTCGATTACAGTTTGTATACCATGGCCCTGAAAAAAATCAACAATGTAGCCACGATAAAACTATTCCTAGTTTCTTTTCTTTTCAGGATTTTCATAAAATATCATTTAAGAGCAGATTACACCAAACAGGAGAATAACATTTACAGTAAATTTGTAAACTAGTACATGTAGTATCTGATTGCCAAAAAGTGTGATAAGGATAAGTAAAACAAACATTCAAAATTCACTTATATTAAAATGCATAACCTTCATATATTGTTAATGCATAGATTTTTTACATGTTCCACTCTTTACAATATCTAGTTCCCCCCCTCCCTTTTTTCTTCAAAATCTTGGATCTACATGTACATCTGGGTGCAACTTACCGGTGCCAGACCAGGACATTCATACACAGTATAATCTCCTTCTTCATTTTCTTCTTCAGATTCGTCCTCAGATGCATCATGTTTCATCTCACCATTTGCTCTGTTATAAATATAATCAATAATAGATTACTTGGTTTATAATGATGAGAAGTAAAACAATTTTGACTTTCATGTTCAAAGCCGTCCATGCATGATATTTCTCATGTCTTCAAATTGAACTCCTGCACCTTTTTAACTTGAAGAGTTTTGATCATGTCAGACATATGAATTAAAGGAGATGTGGGCTATATGTCAATAAGACAGCAACCCAATGACAAAAATAACCATAAAATATGTTAAGATCTAGATACATATATTTGTAATAAACAATAGTCAAAACAGTATAAAAGAGAAATAATATGTTGACAGCATAATAGTATGGTCTGAAAAATGTCAAAAAATACCATCAGGGCCATAAGAGCTACAGTTCCATTTGCCATTTTGCATACCATAGACTATTTTGGTCTGCAAATTGTCAAAAATTTTCATAAGAACCATAAGAGCAACCTAACCACAGCTAACCTGTACCATGCTTACTTAGAGCACATTAACATAATGAACAAAAAATGTTTTTTAACCATGGTATTCAATCTTTCTTACAGGAGCAAAACAAATTCATGGATAAATGTTTTATTTACTTTCCTCTTGGAAAGGCCTGAAATAAATGTATTAACAAGTAATATTAAAAATTAAACAGAAGCACAAAAAAATAACAAATTTGTGCTATCAAACTGAGTGATACTTCAAAATACATATACAATGTACAAATGTAGTAAATATACTATTTTGTACATGGTCATAACAGGTATACTTAATTCCATTATCAACCAACAGTTTCTTTGATTTCCCAATAGACCTAAAACAGACATTACAGTTGAATTGAGCAAAGGATTTTTTTGTCAACACTAAATGAAATCCATGGCAACATTTTTTTATTATATGCTTGGTATTTACCTACCACCCCCTTTTGTGTATTAAATTTCATCTTTTGTAGAAAAATGTAAGTTCAATATTGCATGTATTGGGAATAATAATTGGTTTATTTTTATAACTTTATCATGCAGACACTCCTTGATACTTCACTATAATCCCTTAAGCACTTTGGATTGAAGTGAGAAATATAAGATGTAATTATATTGTCTGAAGATGTTAAAATCAATGATTCTGGAAGGCATTACTATCAATTCTTTTAATGTGTTAAATATAGATGCATATTTTCTATGTCTATATTCATTATTACGTGATTTAGCTGATTGTTTGATCATCACGGCATGTAACATTGACAAGCTTTCATAAGCCAAACAAATGATATGTCTGTTTATGGTTTCCAAATTGAGAAATAGGAAGAAAAGTAGAAATTCTTTTTTTCATTTTGCAGAATTTTTTTACAACTAGTACATGGGGAGAAGTGTAATTTTGATGTTGTTCTTAAAATAACAGCATAGATAACAAGGCCTAGTTGTTTAAAAAATTCAACCTTTCGCTAATGATATTCTCTGGATGAATCTTTTTAATGAGAAGGTCCATCTTGACCACTTGACCAACAGGCAAAATTTATCCACATGATAGTTTTACATGGATACTGGTTTTCTGTTGAAGACTTCACCAGATATTTGTTGTTCTTTTGTGTTTTTGTGTTTCTGTCTCAATAACTATAACAAAATCCTATTTGGTTAATATTGAAGAATCCTCAATTCATCTACAATATTTCATACTTTCCCCCCCAGACTTACTTTTCTATTGCTATCATCTGTTGATTCCCCCCCCCCCCCAATTTCATTTGAATTTCTGTTATAAATTTACCTTTCCATTGCTATCATCTGTTGGGTTGTTTTTTTGTTTTAATTTTTTTAATTTTTGTGTTTTAGACTTACTTTTCCATGGCTATCATCTGCTGTTTTTGATGTTGATAATGATACATTTGTGCACTCTGTGCTAATTTTCTATCTCCTGGACCGGACCCTAATCTTTCTTTTGTTGGTCCAGTAACACCATAGGCTGGATAGTCTACTTCGCTAGCAGCTTTTATATTTTTATTCAATCTACAATAAATAATAGACCTTGTCAAGTTCATCTAACATAAAGGGTTGTTCTTGAAGACATCATGGGTTCATAAGCAGAAAAACAATTTTCAATTATCGTTTGAGGACCTAAATAATAAACCTAAACACTTCAATTATTCATTTTTTTCTTTACTTCACAATAATCACTGCTTGGAAGTTTTTGTTGCCGTCTCCTATTGATCATACAATCATTGAACATATTTATAACTGAAAAACAACTGTAATTGATATTGGCATTAATCTTCCTTTAATTAAAAATGGAATAGAGAAATATTATCCTAAACACGATATTGTATTGAATTTCTGTTAGATAGCTGATATAAGACTTCATGATTTGAAATTTAAAGACTAGAAAAAACATGTCAATGGCTACAAACAGGAAGGATTTTAGTTTGATCAACAGTTAATTTGTTATTGTGTTCTTTTTGGGCAGGCTTTTAAACTTGAATCAATTTGTCTCTTCATTCTACATCAGTGGAGTTGTCAACTAACTCTCTACTTTTTTTTTAATTGCCAGGAATCAAACCCCCTTTTAACTACTGTTTTCTCCACAAACAAGTTTCATCATTGCTCTCGCAATATAGTGTCTGTCTTTTTGCCGTAAAATGAAATAATTCAAGATTACTGTTATTTCTTTTAAGTCTGTATTAACTTGTGTAGACCCTTTGTTTCTAATAAAACGTCACAGGGTATAAAATGGTTTGCATTGAACATGTTGAAAACTAAAAGTCATTGTCAAAGATTGGGCAAGCTGGAGAAAGATTCTGTGGTCACAGCCCAGTCATCTTTTTTAATGCAATTTTCTATGGTGTATGTAAAACAAGATATTAACATGATTAAGGAAAAGTAATTTTCCGGTGATCTTATATCAAAATTATATATAAGTTTTTGACGAAAATTAACGTCTGCTCTTAATTTCTACTAGCCATAGTAGGATACATTTCATGCAATACTCCATTTCAATTCAAATCTTGTTTTATTTTTGTTTATTTTTTCAAAGATTTATTTCCAAAATAATAAACATTAGCCATTGAAATATTTAAATTCAATTTAGATATATAGGATTATATACAACTGATCTATTATAACAATAGTATCAAGACTAAATTCAGAAACAGTGCTATTACATATAAATTGCTATAGGGTAACTTTAAACATGAAAATATGCGTAATTACATTTTAAACATTTAAGTAAATATTTATTTAGGTCAGTTGTGGGAGGATTTAAATATTTAAAAAAATAATCAATACACAGACAATGGGAAAATATCTGTGTATTGAATATAACTACTTATAGAGGCTGATACCCCAGAAATTGTTGAATAAGCATTATACAAAATGGTTTTCAAGCTTTTGAGATTGTTTCATTCAAACTGTTATTCCATTGCATGTACATTAATAAATAGTTCTGTAAATATATGTTGTCCATTCATATCTGTACTGCAAATACCAGCAATTTGATTTGTATAAGAATTTTATCCTCACACTGGGTTGACTGGGTTCCCTTGGGAAAGCAAAAGCTCAATCAACCAATTTATACTAAGAACAGACACCATCAGATATATATACTGGTAAAAATATCAATGAACAATTATCAGTTTTGATACTGTTTCACACCTGAACAGGTGGACTGATGTAGAAAGTAATCTGTTGCCATAACAACTATTGAAACACCTGTCTTACATCAATTTATCTTAATCAATGAAAAATATGGACAAATTACAGGTGATAATTAATCTACAATTGTATGATATTTTTAATTAGAATAATAAAATAATCAATTTTCACCTGATGATTTGTGAAACAAATATTATTTTTCATGGAAATGATTGATCTACGGACTTTTACAACTAGTACAGAAATAATATACTAAAGCCCTACACTCCAGCAGTATGAAAGTTAAGTGTTTAGAAGAAGCCCTTAATTGTAAAGTATTCAAGTTCTCAACAAAAGCTAATATATTCCAACAGTACAGAAATAATATACTAAAGCCCTTCACTCCAGCAATATGAAAGTTAAGTGTTAAGAATCGAAGAAGCCTGTAAAGTATTTAAGTTCTCAACAAAAGCCTTATATTCCAACAGTACAGAAATAATATACTAAAGCCTGACACTCCTGCAATATGAAAGTTAAGCTTATTAACATCATCTGAGATTATTTTCTCAGTGGTTGGGAAGATAAGTATTGATATCTTATCTTACAAATGTCATAACAGCCCTGGTTAGTAGACTGACTTTTGATCTTATTGTCTAGAGATTGTCGTCTTGTGCCTATTTCATATTCAGATCAACTACTAATTAAATCACTGACATTTGTCTGACAGAAAAGGGGCTTTGTTCAGAATGTACTTAGCTGAGTTAGCTCTGCTAAATTTCATGGACAATTTGATGTTGACAAGTAAATTAAGCATGTTCATTTTTCTCAATATTTTGTAATATTCTGCACTTTAAAGTTAAACAGTAAGAGTACATTTTCCTGAAATATGAATTTAAATAAATGTGGATAGTGTTCACATGTGGACACAGATGATGCCCCCGCTTGCATATCATATAGTTATAAAGGGACATAACTGAAGAACGGTAAAAGTGACGCTACCCAAATTTGAACTTGATCCGAGTTTTGTGGTAATAAGCATTGTGTGTTAGTCTCATAACATTTGGTTGAGGCTAACTTAAGTAGGGAACAGAAACTTAAAATTCAGCAATTTTTCTATTTGTAAACACGCATAACTCTAGAACAGTTGTGTATACATAAGTTTTATAACATTTGGTTGAGACAAACTAAAGTTAGAGAACGGAAATGAAAAATTCAGCAATTTTTATGTTTATAAAGGGACACAACTCAAGAATGGTAAAAGTGTTGCCACCAAATTTCGTACTTAATCTGTATTATGTAGTAATAAGCATTGTGTATAAGTTTCATATCATTTGGTTGAGGCACTAAAGTAAGAAAACGGAAACAAAAAATTTGTACTTGATCTTAGTAATGTGGTAATGAATATTGTGTTTAGGTTTCATAATGTTTGGTTGGGGCAGACTTAAGTTACAGAATGGAAACTAAAAATTTTGCAACCTTTCGAGTTATAAAGGGGCATAACTCAATAATGGTTAAATTGACACTACCCAAATTCAACTTGATCTGTGTTTTATCAGTGGAGGTCAAAATTAAACATTGCATTGTATAGAGCATTAAATGTAGTTGATTCAATTATAATCATGGACAAAGGAAGATTACTCCAATTTTAATAAAAATTACTTGATATTTAGAAGAAAATAAAAATTTTGCAATTTTTCCATTTATAAAGAGGCATAACTCTAGAACGGTTTAAGTGACGACACCAAAATTCAAACTTGATCTGTGTTTTGTGGTTATAAGCATTGTGTATAAGTTTCATAACATTTGGTTGAGGCAAACTAAAGTTAGAGAACGGAAACGAAAAATTCAGCAATTTTTCCATTTGTAAAGGGGCATAACTCTAGAACGGTAAAAGTGACGCCACCAAAATTCAAATTTGATCTGTGTTTTGTGGTAATAAGCATTGTGTATAAGTTTCATAACATTTGGTTGAGGCACACTAAAATAAGAGAATGGAAACGAAAAATTCGGCAATTTTTCCATTTGTAAAGGGGCATAACTCTAGAATGGTAAAAGTGACGCCACCAAAATTCAAACTTGATCTGTGTTTTGTGGTAATAAGCATTGTGTATAAGTTTCATAACATTTGGTTGAGGCACTAAAGTAAGAAAACGGAAACAAAAAATTTGTACTTGATCTTAGTAATGTGGTAATGAATATTGTGTTTAGGTTTCATAATGTTTGGTTGGGGCAGACTTAAGTTACAGAATGGAAACTAAAAATTTTGCAACCTTTCGAGTTATAAAGGGGCATAACTCAATAATGGTTAAATTGACACTACCCAAATTCAACTTGATCTGTGTTTTATCAGTGGAGGTCAAAATTAAACATTGCATTGTATAGAGCATTAAATGTAGTTGATTCAATTATAATCATGGACAAAGGAAGATTACTCCAATTTTAATAAAAATTACTTGATATTTAGAAGAAAATAAAAATTTTGCAATTTTTCCATTTATAAAGAGGCATAACTCTAGAACGGTTTAAGTGACGACACCAAAATTCAAACTTGATCTGTGTTTTGTGGTTATAAGCATTGTGTATAAGTTTCATAACATTTGGTTGAGGCAAACTAAAGTTAGAGAACGGAAACGAAAAATTCAGCAATTTTTCCATTTGTAAAGGGGCATAACTCTAGAACGGTAAAAGTGACGCCACCAAAATTCAAATTTTATCTGTGTTTTGTGGTAATAAGCATTGTGTATAAGTTTCATAACATTTGGTTGAGGCACACTAAAATAAGAGAATGGAAACGAAAAATTCGGCAATTTTTCCATTTGTAAAGGGGCATAACTCTAGAATGGTAAAAGTGACGCCACCAAAATTCAAACTTGATCTGTGTTTTGTGGTAATAAGCATTGTGTATAAGTTTCATAACATTTGGTTGAGGCAAACTAAAGTTAGAGAACGGAAACCAATTTTTCGGACATATGTACGGACAAGGGTAAAACTTAATGCCCCCTCCGCTACAGCGGGGGCATAAAAAATGTGGGATTTATGCCAATGAGACAGCAACCCAACAATACAAAAAAAATATGTCAGTGGTCAACATAGTCTTCAACAATGGACAGGTCAACATGTCCAGTTCTAAATTGTCAAAAATCTTGAACAGTATAACCCAAATAATTCCGACTCTCCCTGTCATCTTCTACTCATGAGGGCCTAATCTTATCATGCAATAAAAACACATTTGTGCTCTCTAAAACAGAGAGCCAATCAGATGGCAGCTTAATTTACAGTAAATTCAGAAACTTTTGCATGCATTTATTAATGTGATTGTTTAACAATGGACAAAATGTGAGATTTATTATTGCTATTTAAAGAAATGCTGCATATTAATATTAATTTATAATTTTAATTTTTATGAATTTAAGACAAACAATGGTGTAATGCTATAAACATTTATAATGTAAGTTTTATTCTTTTATAAACCCGACTGATCACAGTTTTTGTAAAATAAAAATATTACAAACATTTTTGAATTCACAGTAAATGATACAGGTAAACACCAAGTTGTAGTACATACTGATTAATTTATTTGATGAGTTTTCATTGATTAGACATTTAGTGTTTATGTAGCCATCATAGATCTGGTCAGCGGAAATATAAGGGCTGAATTATTCTGGTAAAGAAAAGTACTGAGAGTGGTTTCTCTCATGTCTTCTCTTCTTCATTTAACAATGTGTTAGAATACCTAGATATCTACTCAATAACCACAGTCCTAGATATCTACTCAATAACCACAGTCATTCTAGTTTATTTTTTTTTATTTTCTAACAGATGTTAGTTTTTATTGCATAGGTTTATATCACTGTCTGCACTTAAACATTTTTAGCATATATTTAGAAATAGGTTATAATATCAAATATATATTGACGTCAGTAAATTTCTATAAATTTAATCAATATGTATGTATATAGTCCACAAATTATCTATTTATTTGTTAAGCAAGCTGAGAATACCATTATTTCATTGTGTTTCTGGAACAGTTGAAAAAAATTCATATACAAAATTAGCAATAAAAATTTCATAATCAATGAACCTTCTGCTGATATTTTTTCTCATTAATTCTAATTTAGGAAATTAATGTACCTGTATACCCAAAATCTCTTTTAAAAAATGTAAATCTCAACTAATGTTGATTCGAAAGTCAAATTTATTGAAGCAATCTCAAACAGATCTTTCATCTAAATATGCAGGATTCAAATAAAATTTGTGATTTAAATTAAGTCACATTTTCTCATCAATAAAATCATTGCTTTTAATTATCTAAATTTACACTGTATATCTTGAATTTAATCATTGAAAAAGAAAAGGATATACGTCACTGATTTATGAAGAAAATATCTATGAAATAGGGTGAAATTGCCCACTACTCTGGATAAAATCTGAAAGCAAATAAGTTCTATCAATCGAAATCCTTGCAATGAAAACCCCGTCATGAATTATAAGAGTACATCTAAATTTGATTGATTCATTAAATAGCATTTAGTTTCTTATTTCTTTATTATCAAAATGAAAAAAATAAATGAGGAATGTGTCCATGGGACAAAGATGATGCCCACGCTTGCATATCATAGTAAGTAATAAAGGGACATAACTGAAGAACAGTAAATGTGACACTACCAAAATTTGTACTTGATCTGAGTTTTGTAGTAATAAGTATTGTGTATAAGTTTCATAAAATTTGGTGGAGGCAAACTAAAGTTAGAGAACGGAAACGAAAAATTCAGCAATTTTTCCATTTGTAAAGGGGCATAACTCGAGAACCGTTAAAGTGACACCACCAAAATTCAAATTTGATCTGTATTTTGTGGTAATAAGCATTGTGTATAAGTTTCATAACATTTGGTTGTGGCAAACTAAGTTAGAGAACGGAAAGGAAAAATTCGGCAATTTTTCCATTTGTAAAGGGGCATAACTCTAGAACGGTTAAAGTGATGCCACAAAAATTCAAACTTGATCTGTGTTTTGTGGTAATAAGCATTGTGTATAAGTTTCATAACATTTGGTTGAGTCAAACTAAAGTTAGAGAAGGGAAACCAACTGTGGGACGGACAAGGGTAAAACTAAATGCCCCCTTCGCTACGGGGGGGGGGGGATCATAAATACTCAAGAGAAAATAGGTTGCCTACAATATGAGAATAAGAAACCTTTTGAAATATAAGTCCTTACTTATTTCTTTGGGGCACATCTTCCTTTTATAGAATCTAAAATCAATGAAGAAATAGCCAAATGTCTTTGTTAATTCTCAACCTTCTCAGGAAATAATGTCTTTAAACATGTTAAACTCTAAATTGAATCTCGACAATACACAAATCAACAACAAATATATGTTGCTGTTAGAACTGTTATGATATTACAATGATCAATCATAGATCTCAATTCATAACACAAACTGACCATCAAAAAGAAAGTAACAAATCTTAAACAGTCTGTATGGTACTTTTATAGTCCTGAAAATAGAATTCTAGAGTCTTGCAATTTACATGTAGTTTGAAAATAGCTTTTAAGTTAAAATATAAATAAAAGCAGATGTGGTATGATAGCTAATGAGACAACTATCCTGTAAGCAATTAAAGGTCACTGTACAGCCTTCAACAATGAGTATAACCCAAACCATAGAGTAAGCAACAACAAAAAAAGGCCCAGACATACCAAAACCAAAACCAATTCAAACAAGAAAAATTTGTAAGGGTTCCGCGGAACCCAGTGTCTCATCTACTTTTGCTGTTAATCACAGGCTCAACAAAAATGAGGAAAAAATTAATAAAAATATTCCTTTCTATACTATCTTTTGATTGTAAGTAGCTTCTGTCCAAGTTTGGTAAAAATCCAGGATAGTTTATGAATCTAATAAATGTTTTAAAAACTTAAACTGCAGACTGTATGTAATGTTAACTGGAAGAAAAACTAAGTCCATTTATAAGTAAAATACGGAAAAAATGAAACAAAATTTTAACAAAATTTCCTTCTAGATACTAGCTTTTAATCATAAACAAGCTTCTGTCCAATTTTGGTACAAATCCAGGATAGTTTTAGAAAGTTATTAAAATTTGAAAAACTTTAACCAGAGAGTGAATGTAATGTTAACTGGCAGAAAAACTAAGTCCATTTATAAGTAAAATACGGAAAAAATGGAATTTTTTTTTTACAAAATTTACTTCTGGATACTATCTTATGATCATAAACAAGCTTCTGTCCAAGTTTGGTAGAAATCCAGGATAGTTTAAGAAAGTTGTTAAAATTTTAAAAACTTTAACCACAGAGTGAATGTAATGTTAACTGGCAGAAAAACTAAGTCCATTTATAAGTAAAATACGGAAAAAATGGAATTTTTTTTTTACAAAATTTACTTTGGAATATTATCTTATGATCATAAACAAGCTTCTGTCCAAGTTTGGTAGACATTCAGGATAGTTTAAGAAAGTTATTAAAATTTCAAAAACTTTAACCACAAAGTGAATATTTGTGGACGCCGCCGACGACGACGTAATGTAGGATCGCTATGTCTCGCTTTTTCGACAAAAGTCGAAGGCTTAACAAAAACCAACAGCTTGATTTATAGACAAACAAATAAAAGAAAAACGAATATGATATAATATCAAAACTTTGACCATTACAGATCTTTGTGCAAAACTTCTAGCAGTACTTCAAAAACAAGGTGTGCAATGATTGTCATTTAGACAACTGTCCATCTACCATCAAAATGACAAAAAAAGCATCTATTGTTAAAACCCTTACCTGTACCAACATACACCTGCCATTATAAGGCCCACAAAACCAGCCAAACTGCATACTGCTACAATCACTGTAAATGAAAAAAAATATTTCTGTCAAAAAATAATTTTATTTGTACTGTGACAAAGAATTATGATCAGGATTATTCATTTAATGTAAAGTTGTTGTCTATAACATTCAACAGGCCATCATGCTCCTTCATAGAAAACAAAATACAGTCAAAACTGCTATAAAAGTCATCTCTACTAATAGATAACCAGTCTTGTCAGGTTTTCCTCTTCTTGTCCAACTGTATGTACTACCATATAGCGGGTTATTTTCGCGGGTGTAAAATTTCGTGATTTAGGAGCAACAAAGTATACAAAAAATTTTGGCGGTTTTTATTTTGGCGGATTCTTTAATCCCTATTAAATATTTTGGCGGATACCGAAATTAGTTGCAGTTAAAAAGTTGTAAAAATTGACAAGAGATAGAGAGATAAGATAAATAATAGTGTATTTAAGTGTCACATATTGATCTATAATAAAAGTATCTATTGTTATGGTTAAATGATTGTTTTACCTGCATGACGTCTTTATATTTATTGATTATATTTTGATACAGTTAATCAATACGATTCAATAGAATACCGGTACTTAGATATTTGTCACAGGTGTACAAACCTCTTGTAAATGTTACGGTTGATTAGTTACGAAATTGACCGGACCTTTGATGTACTAATTAGATCATAAAATTATCATGAGTGATTTGCGACTCTTATATAATTTGACATTAATTAATAAGGATAAAATACCTGACAGAGTACCTTACACTCTAATATTATTAATTATTTTATTATGTAACCAATTAACTACTTAACACCTGACAGCCTGGGAACAATGGCCTTTCGCATTTATGTTGGTTAAATTAACATAAACCATTATTGATTCGACGAACGGGAAAAATAGATAGTTTATAAAGTGCTTTAGCTATTAGAATGTACTGAACGTATGCATAAATTTTCGTGGAATTTAATTTCGCGATTTCCCCTTACCCGCCAAAATAAGCGAAAATAAACACCCCGTGAAAATAACATGCTATACGGTAATACCTAATTGAAGCTCAATTCACAGGTCACTTCTCTTATATGGTCAGTATTTTAGTCCTGCGGATCACATTCATATACAGGTTTGACTAAAGTCATGTGCAGGATGATGAAACAAGAGTTTACACAATAAGATGCTTCACCTGCTGAAAATATGATCTTTTAAAAGAACAATGAACATTGGAAATTATATCTATAATATTTTCGATGTATGATTTGACCTTACAAAAAAATTATATATGACCACTGGAGAATGTTAGATAAACATATACTAAACATTGTTGATATGAATAATTAAAAGGAGATGCTGGGTATGAGACAATAGTCCACTTTGCCAATACTTACATATAAAATATAGATCTGTGCCAGCAGTTAATGAACTATTGTCCGTGTGTTTATTCTGAACCTGAGGTAGTGGAGGGGCTGGTGTTTCATTTTGTTGTGTAGTTTTGGCTGTTGTTGACTTTGAAGTTTTTTCACTATCATCTGGCTGGATAGCATCTTTTTCTATAGACTGTAATCTTTTGTCTTCCCCAACAACTTCTTGCCAGTCTGATGCTGAAGTAGAAAACATCTTTTATCAATAAAATCTTGTCAATAACACTCTTTACTTTCACAACTTTCTTGAATTAAATATAGTGAGGTTCTGGGTCAATTTCCCATGAATGTATTTCAATCACAGGGTCAAATCCCAAAGATATCAAAAGCTACTAGAAATTGAATTCTGTCAGAACAATCTTTTTTACATGTTTTTTCGAAAATTATGTATCCCAATTAAGTTTCTGTCTATTTGATGGTCTACTTAACATTTGGCATTAAACAAATTTTGTGTACATCAATTTGTACAGAATATTTTTATTCACCAATTAATATCTATAAATACATTTCATGTAAAAGAGGATATCTGAGTGATTGTAAATAAATCAGACTTTTAATGGACATTAAATCAAATATTGAATCCAGGCCTTGCAGCCATAAAAATTTCGAGCACAAATATCGTACTCAGACTCAGAATTTAACCAATCAAAATACTGTATTTGGTGTTTCTAGCACAAATTTTGTACTCAGAGTACTGAGTAAAGTTTTATGACCGAGAGCCCTTACCTCAACTGAACAGCTTATTACATGAATAAGACTTTAACATGTACAGTGTATTCTTATATATTCTCAGCATTATTTTCAAAAACATTTTACCAGGCCAAACCATTTTTGTTTTACTTTAATATGGTGGCTATACAAAACAACTGATGGAAATTTTGAATATATTTATATTTTCTCTTCTTCAGTATAACTATCTGTGAACTTCACCTATAACACAAAAGTGTACTACAAAAAAAAATGAAATGTTTACCAAACAGAAACACAATCCATTAAACAATTTGACATAATGCCTTTTACTTAGGAGTGGTGTTTACAATAGATGGATATGTACCTTTTCAAACTACATAAGGTTAACAATATTTCTTACATTTACTTTTTAATTCAACATTACCATTTACTGTTGAACATCAATAACATGAATACAACACAAAACTATATTTAGTTCAATCAAAATGCAATTACGGGAAGGAAAAATCTGACTTTTATATCCCAATTAAACATTTTTAAAAAGGTTACATGAAAATTGAATGTGAAACGGACAATAACTATGACATTATGTAAAAATACGCCAAACATATGCAGATTGGTGGAAATAATGGGACAGTCAGCATAGAAATAGAAATTTGTATAAGCAGCGGAACTGTTACATGTAATGAGCATGTAAAAACACCTAATTAATGCCTGACCATTGAAACCAACAAATCAATTACAATTCAATGGCCATAGAAAAGAATAACAGGTCAAATATAGGTAATGATCAATGGCCATAGAAAGGAATAACAGTCCTAATACAGGTAATGGTCAATGGCCATAATAAATGTAAATAATAAGCCAAATTTGAAGTTGATTTTAACAAAGGGATTGATGAAGCAGTCAATGACCTAAAAAGTCACTCTGACATCTAAAGGTTATTAACTTTCTCCAATTGATGTCAGAGTGATTTAAAACCAATTATATCTTAGTACATATAAGCCCTTCATGATCATGATTCTTAGCATTTAAGATTTATATATAATATAATATTATTTCAATTACATAGCAGTTTATTAATTCAAAATAAATTTACTTTAGTACAAAATAGTTTTTTCAAGGGTGGAGGTAAAATTCTTAATATTTGATAAAACATCTTTCCTTTTCCTGAAATTATCTGCCTTCTGGTCCGAAGTTGATGAAATTATTTAAACATAATGTAATGTATGCATAACTGAAATAAAATTGTAATCAAGTAAATTCATTAAATATCTAAACTTACCATGTTTACGAGGCTCATGTAATTTCTTTTGAAATCGTTGTTTTAAAATATTGTTCCGATTATCATTGGGCTCGTGTCTGGCCAGGAAACGAAGTTTTCTTATTAGTTCTGCATATTCATTATAATCTTCTGCTGCAAAATAAAAATGTTATATTGAAAAATATATACCTCATACATGTACATGTATATTTTATAGAATAGAATGCTGTTCTTTGTAAAGGAGAAGGTCATAAGGGCTTATTTTGGCCTAAAATTTGAAGTTCGTCTGATGAATGATTTTAAACATTATTTAAACACTTTAAAAGTGTCTTCTTCAGTCGATTTAATTAGTTTATGTAAAAGATTTGAACTGATATGGTCATTACAATAATGCCTAAATTGAAGCTTAAATGTGAAAAATCTATCAAATATGCCACAAAACGTCTTTTTTCAGTTGGTTTTTGTCTAAAATGGAAGTGGTTGCATTCGTGATCAATCTCAGTCATTATATATGTTATGTATTATCATCAAATACAACATATATCTAAATATTAAGACTGAACACAAGTGGGTCACTTCCATTTTAGACAAAAACGCTCTAAAAATAAGCACAAATGCTAAAATTGTGAAGATTTCCGTAATTTGGCACGAATTTATGATGCTAGTACCTGATGCATGTACATTAATGTATTGTTAAAAACAGCTCATATTTATTTAACAAAAGTATTCAAGTTTCTACTTTCCACATGTTCCAATAAATAGCAAAAAGTTTACATTTTTAACAAATTTTTGAAATGCTATATTTTGGGGCCAAAAAGGGGCCTACTCCTTTATTAAAACAAAATGAAAGCAAGTGACCATTATCACATTTTGCCTGAAGACAGGAAGCTGTTCTTGCTTAAATATAAAATATGACGATCACTTGCTTTCATTTTTTTGTATAAATTTAAAAAATCAGAACATTCAATTCTTATATCTAAAGATTTTCTAAATAAAAATAAATATGTTAGTAACATTGTGAATCTGAAAGTAAAATTTTAAACCAAAAACTTGGACAGCAATTGTCTTGTGAGATGAAAGTAGTATCATTCCACATGAAATCAATTATAATTGACTAATATAGATGAAACTAGTATTGAAAGATGTAAAAATAAATGGGCAGATGATGCCCCCGCTTGCATATTACGTTATAAAGAGACATAACTCAAGAAATGTAAAAGTGACGCTACCCAAATTTGTACTTAATCTGTGTTTTGTGGTAATAAGCATTGTGTATAAGTTTCATAACATTAAGTTGAGGCAAACTTAAGTGAGAGAACGGAAACGAAAAATTCAGCAATTTTTCCATTTGTAAAGGGGCATAGCTCTAGAACGGTAAAAGTGACTCCACCAAAATTTGAAATTGATCTGTGCTTTGTTGTAATTAGCATTGTGCATAAGTTTCATAACATTTGGTTGAGGCAAATTAAAGTAAGAGAACAGAATCAAATATTTCAGCAATTTTTCCATTTGTAAAGGGACATAACTCTAGAACGGTAAAAGTGACGCCACCAAAATTTGAACTTGACCTGTGCTTTGTGGTAATTAGCATTGTGCATAAGTTTCATAACATTTGGTTGAGGCAAACTATAGAAAGAGAACAGAAACGAATATTTTAGCAATTTATTCATTTGTAAAGGGGCATCTAGAACATTATAAGTGACGCCACCAAAATTCAAACTTGATCTGTGTTTAGTGGTAATTAGCATTGTGTATAAGTTTGGTTGAGGCAAACTAAAGTTAGAGAACGGAAACCAATTTTGGAACGTACGGACGGACAAGGGTAAAACTTAATGCCCCCTCTGCTACGGTGGGGGCATAAAAACAGCTACATGTAAATTTTGAAAAATGTACATGTAAACATAACAAATATTGCTGTTTTAATTTATTCAAACTTTTTGATTTTTACATGAATAATCTGTATCTTTGTAAAACTTTGTCACATTTACTGGAGCAGTCATAGAAATTGGGGTTTGGCACTTACAGGACCCAATTGATGATTCTTCAAATTTTTCTTAGGAATGTATTACAAAATTAACAAAAATCGACAGGACAAAATATATTTTTCAGGACAGGTCCTATCGGTCCTGTGCTAATTTCGAGGACTGGCAGAGGTTTGTAAAATTTCTATGCTGTTTGTTTCATGTAAAAAATAACCAATCATTTTTTTAACAAAATAACAGTTATAGCTATAGGTTGTAGTAGAAATAGGAATGCATATATATACATTTGTATTTGACCAATGATAATTCATGCAATGTACATCAAGTTAAAACATCATCTCTTATGCCATTCATTAACTGGTAGATCAAATTATCCTATAATCATGTTTACAACTGAAGCCTGAAAAATGGTTTTACATCAAAGTATATTGACTACTGACTAGTATAGTCTATAATGTATAGGGGGAGGGTTGAGATCTCACAAAACATGTTTAACCCCGCCGCATGTATGCGCCTGTCCCAAGTCAGGAACCTCTGGCCTTTGTAAGTTTTGTATGTTTTTTTAATTTTGGTTCATTTGTATGTTTCGGAGTTTAGTGTGACGTCCATTTTCGCTGAACTAGTATACATTATTGTTTAAGGGCCAGCTGAAGCTCGCCTCCGGGTGTGGAATTTTCTCGCTTTGTTGAAACCCCATTGGTGGCCTTCGGCTGTTTTCTGGTCTTTGGTCGGGTAAAAATGTTGTCTCTTTGACACATTCCTGTTTCCATTCTCAATTCTATAAATTATGATTACAATGAAAATGATGTATAACTGCCATTACTATATGTATGTCAATGCTGTATATGGGTGTATCATACCAAGTGTATACTTATTTTTCATTGATCACCTACAATGTAAACCATTGGAATCTGATTTTTAAAATGGTTTTACAAGCTTTATAGTTCCTAATAAGATCGATCAATCTAATTAAAATTAGATCTTTGTAACATATATATCAGAAAGGGGCGGCAATATCAATATCTTCAAGCAAAACAAATCAAAGTACTGAAGTACTGAACATCGGATGACCGCAAGTTCTTGTGGATGGTCACAAGCACTTGTCTCGGTAAAAAAAATTACATCTGTATACCTGAAAGTGAGGTTAATGTACAGAGATATATTTTTTTCTGAGACAAGTTTGTGCGTGGATAATGAATAAATGACAGGGAAATCAACGTCACCGTAATAACTATTATATTGTAGTGATACAAATCAGTATACTCTGGTTTGTTGTTATATATATATATATATTATACATCCATTTGTATATCATTCTATTTTACTATTCTAATAAAAGTGCAGTGCAAGTGCATGGTGGACACTCTTCTGTAATAATATGATTTTTCTAATAGATTGGACTATAGCAGGAATTCATATTTTCCCACAAAACGTTCTTGAGATATTCTTCCCCATGCCTTAACACAATTTTTCTGTATGTGTGCATAGATATTTTAATGATTTTTTACTTATATATATATTTCTAAAGACAAAACATTTTCATATTATTACATGTATTAATTTATGATCTAAACAAAAATATTTTATGAGTATTCATTTAAGAAATGAATTTATAACAAGCGATAAGGAATGTTATTTTGCACTCGATAATGTCCTCGTATTTATAGAACGGTAACCAGTCAAACACGAAAATTACGCAAGTAGTAATCTTGTCGGCAACAATACATCGGAATGCCCTCACTGTCATCGCGATGTAAAAAAGTGTGGAAAATTGATTACTTTCATGAATTTCTAAGTCCAAGGACCATAATTCTGAACAAAATCATGAGACCGGAACAAAATTCAAACTTGATCTGTAACTTGTCATAAAAAAATATATACCAATTATCAAATCAATATTTTCAAGCATGACAAAAAAAAGTGCAGAAAACTGATTATTTGAGTGAATTTTGTAAGTCCAAGGACCATAACTCTGCACAAAATCATCAGACCGGAACAAAATTCGAATTTGATCTGTAACTTGTCATGATAAAATAATACACCAAATATCAATTCAATATCTTCAAGCACAAAGAAAAAAAAGTGTGGAAAACTGATTTGCCGGACTGACGGATGGACAGACAGACAGACTGACGGAGTGCAAACCTAAAGTCCCCTTGTTGGTATAGGACTAACAAGCACACATGGCAATACATAGTCTCCTACCGGTTTAAAATGCATTGAATTGCAACAAAATGCATAAAAAATCTGATAACTTGCATGTATTTTCTAAGTCCAAGGACCACTACTTTGCAAAAAAATTATCTGAATGGACAAAATTCGAAAATGAGCTATTATACCTTATCATGGTTAAACAATATAACAAATATCAAATCAATATCTTCAAGCAAAACCAAAAAAAGTGTGGAAAATTTATTACTTTCATGAATTTCTAAGTTCAAGGACCATAATTCTGTACAAAATCATTAGACCGGAACAAATTCAAACTTGATCTGTAACTGTTCATATTAAAACTATATACCAAACATCAATCAATATCTCCAAGCACTAAGAAAAAGTGTGGAAAACTGATTTGCCGGACCGAAGGAGATGGACAGACAGACAGAAGGAGTGCAAACCTAAAGTCCCCTTCGATTTTGTCGGTAGAGGACTAATTAGACTGCGCACAATGAAATATATTTGTCCATTAGAAAATTTAGTTTTCAACAGTTCATTTCTTTGCCATATGGTAAAAATATTTCTCCTTTCTTAAAGACATAAACGACTACTGAGATGTTTTCATTTTTAGTGTGCTTGTACGTGTTATTGGGTTGATGTTGCATACTCATTACCCAGTGTCTAATTTCATTCATCTGATCAGTTTAAATGACATGCAAACAGTTATCCAGTATCATGAGTATACAGAGGGTGCTCTGAATGTTAATCATATAACAGAAGTAGACGGAAATAGATTTATTGCACAGGAAATCAATGGGAAGATTTGTCACAGAAGACATTTTCATTTAATTTATTATCATTCCATTAGTTACAATTCAATAGATATCTACTATTAATGCCAAGACTTATCTTTTTCTGGAGCTAGTAAGGAGTGATGAAAGCCACACTTTCAAGATTTTATGGAACCTTATTGAAAGTGCTTCAAGATTAAGAGCTAATTTTGATGTACAGAAG